CGTCCTCATTTGTACAAACTGGTGATATGCTAGGCGCTGTATCTAGTTACACCAGCCATCCTAACAGTGATAACTGAGCAGCTAAATCCAATATTCGACTAATATCTCCTATAGTAAAACTACCTGCTCAATAGTTTGTAAAGTAATAATTACTGCCCTTTTGGTTCCATTAGTCTGACCATAATAAAAATTCCAACTTTCAGATAGTTGGTTAATCCCAGCTCTATCAATCAGGATTTCGATGTTTCCTCATCTGGCTCATCAAACAGCCAAATAAGTACTCTCAACTCTTTTATCTTCATTAGGTAAATTGATGAAACATGAAACAGTTTCCTTTTATTTTTCTGATTCAGTGGTCTCACATCTGACTCCTGCTAAAGCTAGTACACTATAGGTTTGTGACATACAGATACTGCTTATGAACATAATCCATGCACTTTCATATGCCTCGCATCTGCTACAAGTTGTGCATCAATAGGCAAGTCTGCCAGAGTATGAGGTACAAACCAGTTCAGGAAGAACCGAGCTACTTTTGTACAACACGAACTTATAAAAGCCAGCCCCAGTCTCCATAATGGTACATCTATTCTGTTACCATCTTTACATAGCAATTCCTCTGACATTTGGTAGCCTTTCCTAACTGTTGGCCCCCAGTGGCACAGTGGTATGTCTGCGGACTACAACGCTGAAAACCAGGTTTCGATACCCGTGGTGGGCAGAGCGCAGATAGCCCATTGTGTAGCTTTGTGCTTAACTTCAAAGAAACAAGTTCCTAACTGTTGACATGCAATCTCGTGTGCATCAAGTAATACAGGCTTTAATTTAACCACTGTACATATTTTTTAAAATTATGGGATAATAGGTAGGCAAACAACGATTTATAAACATAAGGAAAAGTATTATTGATAGTAGATCATACTACATTTTTCGACAGAACATTGGTCTGTCTTCTTTAGGTATGGTCAGGAGTAAGCAATCCAAGGTTTACATGTCGTTACGAAGACAATGTGGATTAACTGTGACCGAAGTATTGTAAGCAGGTGACAGGATATAGTTGTAGAGGTTAAGTTTGGTCAAGTGTATGAACGGTGAATAGACCTTGCAAAATACAGCTGATGTTGCTAGGCCATTATCACGGTTTATTGAGAGGGCGTTTGCTTCAATAATTTCTATAGTTTCTAAACAGTCTCTTTCTTTTTCAGTTTTGGGTTGGGATGGGAGAAGAATTTTTCCTCAAAGTATTTTGCGCCATTTTCATACTGATGATATATTAAGGCAGATAAGTGAAAATCACCTCTACGCATATGACCTTTGTGTTCTTTACGTCTTGTTTCGAGGGATGTAACGTTTGTTCTATATATTTCTTTCCACATTCACATGGGATAGTGTACTGTATATGCCCTGTTTTTGTTCTTTTAATACGAATTCTTTTGGGTTAGGTTGTGAGATGCTAATTTTATGTGAGGGTTTGAATAGTTTTTATATCAATGCTCAAATTATTAAAAGGTCTAGTAATTTCGTTAGCAATTTCTGGTACAAAAAGGAATGAAACAAAATTATTGTGTTGTTGATCAGTGAAAGACTAGAGTTAACATAATATTTTTCGTTATTTTGGAGTGTGATACAAGCTTTATCTATGATGTTGTGGTTAAAACCTCTAGATAGTGCCATGTTATTATGGTAGTTTAATTCAGTAAGTTTTTTTTGGGGTGCAAAGTTGTACTGCACAATTTACATTAGAGTCATGGGGACCATTAGCTGCAGCATGTTCCGAGAAAGACAGCTTTGTGATTGATAACAACGCTACAGTGCACCTTCCTACATACATAAAAGACTGTGCAAATGCCACAGGTTTTATGCATCTGTGCTACATTCCACTGTCTGTGATGATTGAACTTCACATTGCTAGATCTGCATTCTTTAGCTCCTCTTCCCACAGCTCCTGAAAAGATAATCATAGAGTCTATCCACTGGCAGAATCTTCTATTGTATGGCTTGACATTGCTTGTCAGAAAAGTATCAGCTCTCACATATTGTACACGTTCAGAAAATTCAATGAACTGACAAGTTTTCACTATTCAGGTAGACAACCTGTCCACATTTCTGTGTTACAAGCCCAAATAATACAGTATGACAGAATCATATTGTTACGTCTCCGTTTGTTAATTGATTTTCCATAGCTTCGTTCCGACGAAACTTTAGCGACACAAGTCCTTACTTAATAAAACTGGTTTATTCTTTCTGAATATAACTTTACCGATACACTTATTTTCAA